TGTGTGTGTGTGTGTGTGTGTGTGTGTGTGTGTGTGTGTGTGTGTGGGAGAGAAGCTGGGATGTTACATGCACAAAAACCTATATAACACTACAGGAAAGGGATACATATGAAACGTGTCTTTGTGCTGTGCTTTTTGTATGTAATACACACCTTCAGTGTTTCCATAATATATCTGCTCACTGGCCTGTGAAAATATAAAAAAACAGATTTTAAATATTAGACTGTATATCTTGTACCATCAAGTGTGTCTCTCGATCCTCTAACACAACAACCATTTAGCCATGTGATGTTTGTTTTAAAGTGGAGGCCAGAACAAATTAGATTATGCAGCGGCTTCTCACCCTCAGGATGCCTTCATGCATGAAGGTGTCTCCTCCTGGACGAACGTTGTACAGCTCCTCCAGACCTCTACGAATGAGATCCCTGATCAAATGACAGACGACAAGGAAAAAGACATTGTTTATGATACTATCTATAAAAATATTTATTTTGTCAGATTCAATTGTGAAACAACTTTTGAGCACATCCAGAAACTGTGAACATAATAGCTTCCATAAGGGCGGCAAAAAAAACAAAAACAGCAATGTGTAACAGATGAATAAATTGAAACAGTATTGGTTTGAATTGGCTTGAGAAGCTGTCACGCAGATAGGCAGGAAATGAGCCCTTTGCAGGATGAGATACTTGGGAAGCAGTGAACCAGTGAAAATGTTATGTGACACTCTGATGAGAAAGGATCACACATAAACTGCCCACCAAGTGTCAAAAACCACATGATGAAGTCGTTGTCCAGACCGACGACACTAAAGACGGATCGCAGGGAGGGAAAGTATCTGTCTGGAAACTTCCTGGTGATAAACTTTCAGAGGGATTATAACTGTGTCCAAATCTGGCATAACACTCATACCTCTCAGCTGCGTGTTAAAAAAATCAACGGATTAAAAATGACTTGGAGAGGATCTGCACCCACCTGTCTTCTGTCAGGCGCATCAGGATCCGTCCCTCAGTGGAGAACACAATGAAGGACATCCGCAACTGTGGACTAAAGGCGAGGAGAAGAGAACCACATACTGTTAGATCAGTGGTCATTTCTTTTTCAATGGCAACATTAGGATTTTTTTTTACCTTATGAATTTATGAGCTAGATGTTCAACAAAGTTGTAGATTTCTGTCCAGTGATGCTGCACGCTCCCAGATCTAGGCAGAGAAAAGCCAAATGAGTAATGTGAGGGTGTCGTTTCAACCACTGCTGTGCATTTATGTGACGTGACCTCTTCTCTGTGCTGCTGTTGGACTGATGTCAATAGACCGAACAACAGGCCCCTGGACACAGACATTTAAAGGGCCATAAAAGCCTCAAGACCCTCAGCCTACAAAATATGTTAAAATGATTCAATTACGTCTATTAGAAGCTGATCTGCACCTTCCTTTGTTTCCTGTCTTTTCATCTTTGTTATAGTAAGTAAGTAAAGTTTATTTAAAAAGCGCTTTTCACAGACAAAGTTACAAAGTGCTTGACAAAACAACAAGACATCCATATAGGAGGCGTACAATCATCAATGAACCCACATGTTAAGAAGTCATAAAAGCACCAGAGCATAATTTAAGACACAATAAAAACACAATGAAACAAAACTTACAAATGAAATTTAAAACAAAGAAAAATAAAAACATAGTATTAAATGGAATAAGATCAAGCACACCGATCTGTCTGCGTTGTGTTTTGTCTTGTTTAGATCTGTCTTTGGTTTCCTGTCTGTGTGTGTTCCCTCCTACCTGTTTACTTGATTGTGTTCACCTGTTGCCCCTGTGTTTTCTCCTCCCTCCTCATCTGTCTCTTGTTTCGTTGATTAGTCTTGTGTGTATTTAAGTTCTGTTTTACCTGTCTGTCATTGTTGGTTCGTCGTTTGTCTGTGACTGTGTTCACCGGGGAGTGTTCTGAGTTTTGACGTTTAGCCTTGAAATAAAGGATTTTTCAGTGTTATCTGCGTTTGGGTCCTGCTTGCTTCACTCACCGTAACAACCGGTTACCCAAACGCCTGACCAAACAGGAATGTCTTTAGAATAGTTGTCATTATGTGTATGTTTGAAGTTGTTCTGCATCTCTATATCAGTTTTGCATCTGTTTGGAGTTGTTTGGAGTTTGTTAGTCCATCTGTGTTTCCTTGTAGCTATACAGCTTCTCCTTAGATGAAGCATGTTTTGTGTCTCTTTGTAATTGTTTTTTGTAATTCTTGTGGCCATTTTATGACATCACTTTTCATGTGGTTATTTGGTTCATGGTCTCCTTGCATCGTCTCCTGACGCTTGCGCCCCGAGGTCTGCCTCTATAGGTCACTAATCGAACAATGGACTTCTTAAGGCTACTTCTCCCATTAAACGGATGGTTTAATGTGAGAAGTAGCAGTAGTGCTTTGATCCTCAGATGACTGTTAACATCTGTATAACACACCTACAATCAAACCAGATTGTAGTTATTGTGTAAATGCAAATCATCTGACACTGATTTCTCTCTTCGCTATCTCCAATTTGACCCGGTGGTGTCTCACACACTTTTATTTGACATTTGTACTGGATTTTTAGAGAAACAAAGTCATGTGTATCCTGCTCAGTTGTTGTTAGGAAATACATATTTGGGGATAAAACATTTTGGAGGAGAGAACTTTATAATGACTATACATTGAATCTGGTTAATTAACAACAGTTTGCAAGCTTGCTTTATGCTTATCAAAATGTATTTTAATTAAAAACTCCACACCCCCTGCAACAAAACACCTACGTTTCCATTGTTACCACCATGACACAAGCCCAAGCACAAACAGCAAACAGGCTGAACATCTGAAACATCTGGATGTAATAGAGAAAGAGCAGTGCAGAGACAAGGAGGAGGGAAGAGGGATAAGGAGGATACAGCAAGAGGGCAATGAGGGCACTTGGAGGACATCACTGCTAAAAGGAAGCTGAGCGAAGAGAAAAGACAGTCAAATGAAAGCTAAAGGAACAGCTACCTATCAGCTACACAAATACACATGCTCACAATGGCTCTGTATTATACACAATTGCCTAATTTCCCCCGTGAGAAAACAGCAGTGTGTCTGGAGGTGGCACTGACATTTAATGTAGGACAACTGGGAAATCCATCACCATATCTGGAGGGAGTGTTATAAGAGAGCGGGACGTGTCAGACTCCTATCTTCCATTTAAGAAAATGAAGACATTTGTTGTTGATCTAGTTGGCAAACCTTTTTGGCTGGTGGTGGGAAATAAGGATTGAAAACAAGTTGTGTTGAGCAAGGTTTGCAAACCACAAATGTCATAGGGTGAGCAGTCCGTTAAAGTCCAAAAGCAACAGCCTGGGTGAATCAGTGACAGAGGAGCTGTTTGCATATTTATCTGCAGCATTAAGTACTTTATCTTGGACGTCTAGTGAGGCAAACTCATGTAAACATGGCTCACCTTGTTAACCCCTTTTGAGAACCGTAAACAGTTTTCACTTGACTGGCTTTAATTCCTGTTAAGCTCAATTTGGGCGTGGGCGTTTTACATTACATTATTACATTACATTGCATTTAGCTGATGCTTTTATCCAAAGCGATTTACAATAAGTGCATTCGACCAAGAAGATACAAACTTGAAGAAAACAGAATCATATAAGTACATCAGGTTTCATAGAGCTAAAACATTTAAAGTGCAACTCAACTGGCTTTAGATAAGCCAGTCCTTTGTTAGTATATAAGTGCTTTGTTAGTAATTCTATCGCTCGAAGTGGAGTCGAAAGAGATGAGTTTTTCAAACGACCACATTAAGTGAGACTTATCATCAACATGTCATGAATATGATCCCGTTTATGTTCACTCTGGTAGTTTTGATGAGGTGGCCATGATGCACAGCTGAAAGTAAACTCAGCGATTACCAAAAAACCGGTAAGATAAACATGGATGTTTCTAAATAAAGACAAATGTATCCAACTTGGATGGGAGGCAAACATCCTGTCCCTCACTGTGGATACACAGAGGACTCAAAGAAGATGAGGAGATAAAAAGATGCATTTAATGGCGAGCATTTGTGGATAAATAAAGCCCACGTGGTAAATGTTTGTTAATGAGAATGAACACCAGAACAGCTGCAGCCTGCAGGATACTGAAGAATGGGGAACACCACTAATCAAAGAGACACATGCCAAGCAGAAATGCATATCAAGGTAAAGCAATGCATCCTCAGTCCATTCATCCATATTCGCGCATGACATGGCACCAGGGGGCGTAACCAACATTATGTCATTTGGTTGTCACCATGATGGGAGAGGCACCGGAACTACAACAAGAATAATGCAAATGTGCTTTATGCATTAAGTGCCTTTTTTAAGCAACAAGCAAAAACAGGTGAGTGGAATATTCAAGTTATACTCAATGGAGTTAAATACATGCAGGAAAACAAAACACAACGCGTCCTATTCAACCTGCTATATTAACTGCTGTTTTTCAGACCTTAACGTAAATGGCACTGAAACCATCCCATCCATCCTTCCCCTCTTAAGCAACTCAGGTAAAGCGTGACCGTGAACTCACTTGTCCAAAACAAAGTAGAGATCAAAGCTTCCATAGCATGAAGACGGCCCGTCCTGCCTCCGGTCCTGGTTCGGTCCAGCACTAGCAGCAGTAAGAACAACCAGCGCAGCACCAAACAACACTGCCAACCAGGAGGTCCTACTCCACCATGAAGGCATTATTCCAGCTGAGGACAAACTCCTAAAACCAAGACAAGTGAATGTGAGGAAGTTGCAAAGTGAATCCTCCTTTGAGATTCTTCTTGTAATCCTCCACAGGTGTCTTCAGTATGAAAAGAGGCAGTAATCCAAAGTTGAGCAATGAGTTGAGGTGAGAGAATGAAGTGGAGGGGAGACAGAAATCATGAGTGTTGTGGATCTCTCTGCTGTTGTTGGGACCCTCTCATCACACAGCGTGCACAAAGATGAGAGGAGCTCCACCACCTCACACTCTTGCTGCTTTTCGTTAATCACAAGACAAGTGCAACAGAGAGGTCCTGAGTCTTTGCAAACCTCTCTTCGTATTTAACCCTCCCTCTATCTGAAGGGGAAGAGACTGATGAAGACAATACACCAAAATATGCTGGCTGGTCCTGCCGCCTGGTGGTGAGAGGGGGCTGCTTTTAAACCACCACATCATTAAAAATACAATTGCAGTGAACCTGAATACTGTGTACACTGCACTAAATACTACCTTATTACATTACACATTTAGCTGACGCTTTTATGCACAGCGACTTACAATTACCGATTACAGGGACATTCTCCCTGGAGTAATTAAGGGCTAAGTGCCTTACTCAAGGGCACACTAGTGGTGGTGTTCCTGGCGGGATTTGAACTCACAACCTTCTGATCTTCAGCCCACCTCACTATCCATTAGACCAGTGGTTCCCAACCTGGGGGGTGCTTTTTATAAACTCATATTTACAAGCTGATAGTTCTTCTTGGAAGTGGTGTTTCTTCTCAATACATTTGAGATTATGCAGGAAACAAATACTGGTAAATATTGAATATGTGCACAAATCCATCATTTTTTATTCCAAGAATACAAATAGCACATTTTAGACTGTCACAGTCGAATAAGATGCAAAACGATATTCTAAAGGCAAGACAGCACGGCATACAGAAGTTGTATCGGATTTATTAACAACTATGTCAATTCCATTGCCACTAAAAATGTTTGTGTTTCTGTGTTTGTGTGACATGACACTATTCGTTCTTTTAAAGCTCTCCAATATAATGTTGTTTTGTTTAAGCTGCCTTTAACAAGCATAACTTCCAGTAATCTCGAGCCAATCAAGGGACGAACATCATGGCCCAGCAGAGGAGCCGAGGGGTTAGTCATTTTTAGACGGCAGACATTTTCCATATCTTCACTCCTTCACACAGTCCATTTGAGTTTCCCTTTGTGTGCACTATGTATTCACAAGCCTGTGTGTCCAAAACTGCCACACAGTCTTCAGGGACCTCTGTGGGGGTTGTGTACCTGCAATTACACAGCAAGCACACCGTTAAGGGAAGAATATAAGTACAGAGATAAATGAAAACTGAATAAAAAACATTATTGTTATGTTGTGATCTGTTCACTTACGCAGAGCAACATCCATTGCAGCTACAGTCCAAACATTCACTGTTTCTCCATAAAGATCCAACTGGATGCCAGGTATGATCACGGTCGTCTTGACAATGGGTCATGCCTATTTGTGGAAAGGAAACGTTTTACACATTTTAAAACAGTTTTGTATTTACTATAAATATTCTGTGAGTGTGTGTTTTTCTCTTCTTTTACCTGGTTTTAAGGCCTTAGTGTAACATGAAGCATCTGATAGCGACGCCAAAGCACAAAACAGCAAAGCCAGAGCCAAATATTTCTTCACAGGGAAAAAAGGAACAACGATTTATCATTTGATATCAGCATCCATATCCTAGCAAGCATTTGGCAAAAATCTGGCAAAAACTTTGGGTCGGTACAGTGTGTTAAGATATTTTTTGTTGAATATACAATTAATCTGATATGAGTCATTCTGTAAATTGCTCCCATTTTGATAACCCACAACTTGAGGTCCAAGCCACACAATGATACAAAACCAATGATATCACTTTTATTAAGTAGAAAATATAACATTTTTTAACATAAAATGGCTTTACCTCCATTATTACCGCTTTAACTTATTCCATCAGCACAGAAAAACAGTAAACATAACATTTGTAACCAGAATTTCAGATTGAGTACTAAAATCCACTCACCATGGTGGCAGTTGAACTTGTCCGGTCTGAATTGTGTTCAGGTAAGAGGAGGAAAGTTAAAGTGTGTGTTTGCTTGTAGGTCTTTTAAACTGTTATCTGTAGAGACCTTTGGAATTAAATACTTTTTTCTGATGAGAAGCCAGAGAGGGTTCACATCTGAATCTCTCTTTCTCATCCCTGCCAATAAGGACATGAACTTTCTAGGCATGGTTCTGTTGGCCTGAGAGGAATTACATAATGCATGTCTCTCTGTGCTCTCCCCAATAAATAACAACACACTTTTGCACCACTGCATCACTACAATACTGCGCCATGAATTGGACACAGATATTTCTTTAATCGATATGATACGTTCACTTGAAATGATTCATTATAAAAACTTTAGTCATTTTGACAACAATGACATGGCATTTATTCCATAAAATGATTCATTAATATCTATTTATCACTTTTATTTACTCGTAAACATCACATTTTACAACAACAACCTTTACCTCCATGATTTAGGCTATATTTTAACCTTTAACACACAAAAACAGCTACCAACAAACATAATTGTACTCTGAAATCAACTCACCATAGTGGCAGTCAAACTTGTCTGGTTTGAATAGTGTTCAGGAGAGATGTTAAACTAAACTGTGTTTTGTAATGCTGTTGACTTTTATAATGTGTGTGCAGGGACCTTTGAAACCGAATAAGAGGAGGATAGTCATCGTTCGAAGAAGCCACCGGTCTTAGTGTTTGTTTGAACCCAGTAAAT